GGGAGGGGGAGGGGGAGGGGGGCATCGGACGAATTTGTTTGAGATACGATTCTGTACTAAGAAAAGAAAATCCCGTGATTAAAGATTCAAAAAATCAAAAAATTTCTAGCCATCATTTCAAGCAYAAAACATGTTTTGAAGTGACAAAAAAGCAAAAAGATCTAACTTGAAAGACGCCTGACAGTTAATATCTTGACAATATGTGACAAATCGTTACAGATTAATGAAAAAATGAGTTGGCAAAACTACCCTAAATGGCGTTTAGTTTCAATGTCAAAACGCAAGCAGACTTGGCGTGACCAGAAAACCAGAAATATCACGCCCCGTGATCATGTCAACGGATATCACACCGGGATTTCCATATCGTGACCTTTCTTTTATGCCGTGACTTTTCAGTCACGCGACGTCTGGAATTCGTGACATCAATAAAGCGTGACAAACCTGTTCGGGTGAAACTTCCTGTTCGTTTTCTTCTTCGGCATCTGCAAACCCAACGCCTCTTCTGGGGGTTTCAAACTCTTCCACGTTGTGGTTCTCCTCGACTGTTGCAACCTTATCTTCAAAGCTCAGCTTCTTGTGTCTAGCTGATTCTGTATCAGACACGCTCTCTTCGTCCTTCAATACAAACAGACAAAGAATTATGAATAATAGCACACTCAGAGCTTTTGGAACAATTTATCAGACAGACAAACATCGACAAACACTGCCCGTCATGTGCTATACACCAGAATATTCGAATGCTTGGAAACGATCAGCTGAATCAATCTCGTGAATCTCAACCAAACTCCACATTAATGTGCTATCAATCAGAGAATGTTTTATTCGCGTCATCAATCAATTGAATGAATTTCATTACAAGTASGGCAAAGACTGCCCGTCATGTGCTATACACTAGTGAGTATTCGAATGCTTGGTATCAATCATCTTAATAAGTCTCAAAGATCACATTCTCAGAATGCAGTGACAAACCAATACATTCTGTCACAATTAATCCACCGGCAAACKGTTTCCTATCTTTAAACCTTGGGGACGTACCGTTAATGATCTATGTCTGACGACTCCATCTTGTGCGGGATGMGTCTTATGGATCACCATCTTAGGATGCCTGGCCTTTAGGTCTTTGAATCTTGGCGTATCATGACGAATGAACTGAGAAGTCTAGAAAATCAAAAATTTTAATTTTATTTTATTTTCGCAATTTGGCGGGAGTGGTGACTCTTAACCCACCACGGATAAGCGTACAAGACACAACACTCAGCTAACATGTTGATATTKAAGGATGGAAGAAAACCAGAAAACCCGTAAAAAACCCTCGTGGCAAGGGAGAGAACAACACCCACAAATCAAACAACCTGAACTTAGATATTCTTAACCGCATTAGATCATATATTTTAATGAATTTTTGCGCTATATAAGTAATAAAATCATTATTATTAAAAATTATTAGTGGAGAGTTGAACAAGCGACCCAAGGCATGGACTACACAACGTTGAGAGAGTCAACACTTCGCATGTCACTCATTATCTTCCTTACCTCTCTGTCGTGATACCCAGGCAAATCATCAACAAAATGGATTCCCCCTTCCTTGGGTATGTACTCTTCCTCTTCTTCATYTCGGTTGTCCATCATTAGGTTATCCATGGCAAATCCATGACTGAGATCGTTCGTTAACATTTCTGTTTTCAGAGGGAAAAGCGAGGAAATAAATGACTGCTTGACCACTGAGTAAATAACAGAAGCGAAGCTGTACAAACTCATGCACACTGTGTTTGAAGAAATAGAAAACACGCGCGCGTGTGCTGTGTGTAGTTATAAAGCACGCGAGAGGTGCGCGTGTGCTATGTGCAGTTATAAAGCACCCCAGGGGTTGGAACAACACAAGAAAATYGTAAAGAGAAAAATAATGCGTGGCACACTATTTCTAAACACTTCTAGAGTGTTCTGCCATTCCCCCCCGCGATTTATATCTACACACATCATACGAATGACGAAATGAAATATGCGCACGCATTACAGTGTGMCCTCATAAAGCACGCGCTACCAAATGATCATAAAGCGAGATCTATCACAGCTATTAAGAAAGCCACCTACCTAGACTGCCCATTCCTTGTTGAGGCAACAAGAAGCAAGTGAGTACCTTGTTGTTAGTCATCTCGTCATCCTCAGTCTGCAGCTTGAGTACTGGTTGAGACTACACAACAAAATCAGTCAAAACCTAGTAAAATCTATATTTTTGAAAAACATATCATCTAGTTGCTTAATAACTAATGCAAGTTTTTTGGTTCCTATGGTGGATAATGTYGTGTTGGTGTGGCCATTAGCTGACAGCTTTATTTCTTACAGTGCTGTTTGATACTAAATTCAATAACCGATTGGCGACATCTAATGAGCTGTAAGGGATGGACCATTAGATAATTGATGCGAGGGTTGCAGGAATTTTGGTCGCATGATTTTTTTTTGGCTCAACCCTTGCACGTTATTTTTTTTGCGTACAGTTAGATATTTTTCTTCTAGCAGAAGAGGTTGCACGACATTTTTTTTTGAAAGTGCTTGCTTGATATTCTTTTGGGGATTTACACACCCCCCCCCCCCCTCCATCAACTATCTACTGGTCCATCCCTAACTAGATTATATATCATCTTAAACAATTTATGCGTTCTTCCAGTTACCGTTTTGGATGGTGTTGCGTTGGTAAGGTATTAACCAACAGCATCRCCCAATACAGTRCWKWCAGATACATACTYATTGTCTGCATCTAACAAGCTGTAACTAGATTATACATCATCTTTACCTGGTTTTCTGACAGCCACAGGGCACTGAGAGGAAGTGTACCAACTGTCAATGGCAGGCATTCAAGTCTAGAAGCAGGGAAACAATAATTAGAGGAACAARCAACCAAAACCAAATAAAGAATGGGTTAGACAGACATTGTGGTTAGTATGTGTAAGCAGTGAGGGTGGTCACTGCCAGGGTTTCTTTTTGTCMTCAGTGGTTCTTTTTCACCCCTCCRATATAAAATTAAATTAAAAATTATATTATTTTATGTTTTTCAGTTTATACCTGTTTCCTGACACATCTAATACATGAAGGTTGCGACAGTTTCCAATTTCAGTAGGAAGAAGTTGAATTAAATTATCCCGAACCGACAAGACACTTAGTTTGTTGCAGTTTCCAATCTAAAAGAGAACAAACAATAAAGAACTTAATATATAGGGCACAAAAAGAYCACAAGTTTTGGTGACATAAAGCAGTGATTTTTCCCCTGTCACTCTGAAGTTAGAGCAGTATTCATATGACTGTGAAAAGCTCACGGCACGAACACAGTTGTGACAAGGCAAGGCATACGCCAGACCAATCACATTACTCTCCATCCAATCAAATACCTGGAACATGGCATAAGCATGGCGCAAACACTGTCACACCAATGTCATGGGATTGCTGYRACTCACCTCAACTGGGACCGAATTAAGACGATTTCTATCTACATTTAAAAGAGACAACTTGTGTAGTTTGCCAATTGTTGATGGCAATTCCTGGGAATAATTAGAAATGAGAATTAAATAAATAAATGGGAAATCTTAAGGAAGGCATAACTAGACACAAAAATTAGTATAGAAAATCTCACAATCTTGAGTACAATTTGGAATTTATACAGCTGTAGGTATGAGTGATATATATTTAAAGTTTTCAAACTTGGACAAGCCTTTAGGTCAATTTGAGAACTTTCAAAACATCACGAGTATAAATTTTGAATCATATGAGAAGATCGTGCGATTTTTTGTTTATAATGCACTCAAAAAAATTGAACAGCTCCATTGGGACTCTACAGAGTACAACTTAGAATTTAATTGTACTCCTCTTGTCCAATCAGAATTGAATAATTTTGTCAAGTGTATTATAAGTGTAAATGTATGTATCGTCTTTAAAAATTAGCATATTTTTAGATAATAAACTGTGATATTGTTTAATTAAAAACACAATATAATTGAATTATTTACCTCTAAAAGATTTTCTGTTAAAATCAATTCCTGCATGCTAATGGCCCTGGAAAGGAAAAAACATTGTATGTCAAACAAATTTGTGACCGACTGACCGACTGACCGACTGACCGACTGACTGACCAACTGAGCGACTGACTGACTGACTGACCAACTGACTGACTGACTGACAAAAATGATGAGCAAGTGAATCATCATGTCATGGCACATCATCAGTTCATCAGTTCACCTCCTCAAGTTAATTTTGTGCATTCACAACATCAAATGTAATAACTCAAAAACATTTTTTCAAAATTTTTTCATTTTGTTTCTGGTTCTTTCTTATACATATCACAAGAATCATTTAAAACATCTTATGATTAGTTTTTTGGGTGTGTCTTTCTTCTGGTTAACCCCTGAAACTGCAATGTATATGACATTCGCATTTTCATTCTGACATCATTAACTACAACTATGAAAATCCCTTACACACTTTTTCGCTCAGTTAATTAGCACTAATTGCCTACAGYATTTTTGTGAGGAGAAATACAAATTTGAATAAGATGGGAAATTTACCAAGCATTTTGGYGGTGAGAGTAAAGTGTCACCATCTTGCAAACACCCTATTATGGAGAATTTGAAAAATAGCAATAACTGTACATTACCCTCCAATAGCTGGAGTGAGAACGATCAGGCGATTTTGATCAACTTTCAACATCTGGAGCTTTTTCAACTTTCCTAAAAATAAAAATAAATACAATTTAACAAAAATAGTAATAATAAAGAGAAGAGAAAAAAAATTGAAATTATAGTGCAGCTGAGAGGGCTATTTAGCCAATAGCTGATGAGGGAAAAAGATCTGAATACAAGAAAATGATAGGGCAAATATATTTCAATCAATTTTTTTAAACTATTTTGAAAATATCTCTTTCTATCATTGACACCTTCAAAAATGATTATATAGGATGCAAAGTCATTGGAAAATACTAAAAAAAGACACTTTTTCTCAATGGCATATGTGATATTTCTTTTGAATTTGAATTTTCTTGAAACCCTCACATCCTAAAGTTTGTTTATATTGATTGTATAAGATGTTGTTATACCTATTGTATCTGGTAAATCCTCCAGAAAATTCTGCGACAGATGTAGATCAGTCAGGGCAGCACAAAAMGATATCTCATCTGGCATGTACTCAATTTTGTTCTCAGATGCATCAAAGATTTGAAGCTTCTTCAGATTTCCAATTTCCTAGTGATCAAATCATCTTTCATTTAGTTTCATTTAAAAGTATATCTATGATCAGGGTCTTAAAAATTTCATATTTTTTTCAACTTTGGGGGCTGGAGTATTTGCAGTAAATGATTTTTAAAGGTTTTTTGCCCTCCCCTTATCACTCCGTGAGAAATTCATGACCCTAGTATTAAGTAAACAAGGGGACAGCTCTCCTAAAATAAGGTTTAACCTTCTACAAAAGTTTATTTTTTTACTGATGAATCTTCCCTCTGAAGCCCCAACCTCCCTTCAAAAAAAAAAAACACATTCCTTCATTTGCTTTTAATCAAGTTTTACATATGGTCCACCTTTTGGAAATTTAATGAGATTTTGCAACACATAGCTRTGTATCTATCAATAACTTGATTCAAGCTCATTATGCAGACACTTACAGGTGGAAGGGTCTTGAGCAGATTTCCGTCCAGCCATAACTCAGCTAAACTGGGAAGTGATCCTATGACATCAGGCTGGAGGGGAAAAAAATCAATAAAATATTTTAATTCRTAAATAATTGAATTCTCAAAACCTTGCAAAAATTTCACAACTTTTTTATGACCCAYAGAGGCCTTTCTTTTTGCTGTTCTCAATCGTTTAAAAAGGAAACTTTTGCTGAACTTAGCAGTTTTCTATTTGAGGATGTGCTGAGTTGTCGTGCTAAAACCTCTATGATAAGGCTCATAACTTAGCTGTCACAATTRCATGAGCCCACTCAAAACCACCAAATCCCCTCTTTGAGTGACAGTGTGTGACATTCCTGATGACGATAAGTGCATAAATACATTCCCCAGCAAGAAAATGACCAGAAAATCCAAAGATTTTGACATATCTTTACTTACCAATTCTTCCAGCTCATTACAGCCAAGATCCAGTCTTTCAAGCTTGGTCAGAAATGCTAAAGAACTAAAAACAAAAGTGAAACTAAAACCGTCAGGGATTAATTCACTTAGCAACAATTTGAAGATCAGCTACATGTTGGCTTATATCTGAGGAAATACTCAAAAAAATTAATGGAAAGCACTCCACTATACATAATGCTTTTCCTATCACTTCCCTCATGTTCTGCTGATCCCATCTGATATATTCCTACGCAAAGCATTTTTATCTCTTCTGAGATTGAAAATCGCCCTAAATTCTTAAGTTTTCAAAAGCAAAGCTGGAGTACTGTTCTTTAAAAAAATGTTCACAATGTCTGGATTTCATGATCAGAGAATGTGTTAGTTGATCATAATTTTCTCATTAAAAAATTATAATTTTTAATAATAATAATAAACAATTATTGGACGAGGTTTTGATGATGTCCAGGATTATGAATGTCAAGGTTAGTGTTATTGGGCAAAGCCGTTGCCCGAAGCCAATAACATTTGCAGAGACATAATTTGTTAATTTCGGATATCATCAAAAACGAATTCAATAAATGATTTATTGTACATTGTTCAAATAGATTAACTGATAATACAAAGATAGAAACTTTATAATAATTTTTTTTTAAATTTTCGAAATAATATAATTAAAAAATAATCTACAGATAACTGCCATCCACTGACCTATGCAGGCTTGTTTTTGCAGATAACTACCTACAGATAACTATCGACCTCTGAAAAATCGCTTCATCATGCTGATAGCTAGAATTCACCTTTTCGGCACTAGCCATCACAGGGTATAAATCATTTTAGATTGTGTTACGGTCACCAAAAAGTTCGGACATTGTTCTTGAATTTCCGTACAAATGTACCGACTCTAAATGAACTATTTACTTGGTTAATGTTTAGTTAGTTCTCTAAATACAAGTAAACGATCATTTTTCTAACTTGATTGAAGCTTTTCTCACTGCTATTGAGAGAGCTAACTAAAGAAATCTACATAAATTTTCTCTTAAAACTCAGTGAATTTGTATGGGAATCTGAAAATGATGTCCAAACTTTTTGGTGACCGCAACACAATCCAAGCTAGTGCCGAAAAGGTGAATTATATGTAGGTTCTTGACCAATGAGAATTCAGATAGCAAGTGATACAATAAATAATAATAATAATAATAATTATTATTATTATTATAAATAAACAATAAACTTTATTTCTATAGTGCACTTATCCTATGCTCAAGGTGCTTAATTATTATTATTATTAATTATTTTGATACTTACACTGGTAGGAATTTGATTAAATTTTCTCTTGCTTCAAGGACAGTTAACTCAACCAAACTGGTGGGGAAAAAAGAATGATTGCATGAATATCAATCTTATCCTACATAACAGTTTTAATATTAACATAAATTTGACCTTTTACATGATTCTTGTGTTGAGAATATCTTACTCATTTGCTGTGCTCACTCATTAGATATCCCCTCATCACTTACAAACATGTAATTCACAGTGAACTGGAAATTGTATATTTTGTCATTTTATCGACCCTAAATGTAGAATAGAGTGTTTTCGYGTGATGTCACAGCAGCCTTTATGGAGTACCAAAACAATGCATTTTCTATCCTCCAGGAATTGAACTCTATTTTTATGCAAATACTGTGCAGAAAGTTTCTATTGTTTATGGCTGCCTTCTCACGTGAGTGAAAATGCTCATGTAATAACAAGTTATTACATGTTAAGAGCCTGATATCCTTTTTATTCACTCATTCTTGCTTGTGTTCGCAATACCATATGGAAACTGGTGAATAAAAACAATATCAAGCTCTTGAGATGTGATAATCTCTGTATACACTAAGCCTTTCTTACCTTCCTATGTCTGGAGGCAATCGTATTAGTGATACATCATTCAGACATAAAGTGGTCAGGTTCTGCAGCTGTGAAAAACCATCTGGCAACCTAGCCATGCAAGGGAAAAAAACATTACTTTTTTTGTTTTTAATAAAAATTGACAAATTTAATTACAGCGTAGTTTGGTTCCTCTTATTATCATTGTTTTTACAATCCAAATGAAATTAGCTGTATCCAAACAAATGATATAAGAGTGATAACAATAATTCTCTACTTTAAAATGCAAAAATTTATCTTCTCAAGAATAAGACAATTTGTATTAGTATGCACACGAGGGGGGCCCACACAGATCTGACAAGCTTGGATATTGTATATTACATGGAGTACAAACAATATAACCGTGAAACTTTAGTGATACTAAATAGCACAATTTCATGCAAATTCCATTGTTTTCTATTGTTTAATTAGCACTATTTTGTACTATTTAGTAATTAGTGCTTCACGGATTAATATTGTTTGCACTCTATACATACATATATACACTTTTGCATGTACTTATCAAGTGTCCATAGCAATATGATTTTATATTTAATTAAAAATTTTGAGATTGAAGCTATAGTTATCAGCCAAAAAAATCCTTGTTGAAATTGAATACAAATGAGCGCATGATTCTGTAGGCAATGAACAAACTTTTCCTAGATTAAAATTTATATTGTGCTTTCCTCATTAATCATTCGTAATTGGATAGGATTTCTTTTCCAGTTATATAAACATTAAAGTGCTAATTTCCTAATAAGTTCTTCTAAAGAAAGGAAATTACTCTTATGGCTGACATAATGTCTGAAATGGGAATTCAAAATTTAATAAAATGTTATTTTAAGATAGATAAGCCATGTTCCGTTTGTGTTTTTCAGCCTCAAGATAGTAAATAGACAAATAAATTTACAGGAAAAATGAAATTTTTTCTGTGGATGTAAATTGTAATTTCCCTTGAGGGCTAAGCTCTTTATGAACACAGAAAAACTGATTCTAAATAAAGACATTTTTGCTAATGCCTTACTAAACTTTTCTTTTCATTCTGCCTGACAGTGTAAGTCAATAACTCAAAGAAATGGTCAGGCTTTGAGGTATCTGAATAAACTTAAAAAAGTAAAATAACATAAAAATGATAGGAAAATAACCCGACAATAGGCCCTCGAGCTATGGCCAAACAAAAAAATAAGTGTGTTTCCTGTTGTATGAGCGACCCTAATTTTCTTGCCGATTTTTGCYGACCCTAATATTATTTTCATCCCCAAAGCACCACAGGATTCCCAGTAAGCTCATTTCCACTTTTGTATCAGTAAAAATAACCGACCTACAGACCCCAATTATTTTTCTCATGCAATAGGAAACATACTTATTTTTTTGATTGCATGACCAAAGTTATATATTTATTTCCATCTATGGATTTTCATATCCACTCTAAATAGTTAAGACCACAAGGCAATAGATCATTTCCATTAAGCTTCTCTACAAATAAGGAAATATTTTGATTTCCTTTGTAAAAATACAAAATGAAATGTTTCCGTGGTTTTAGTGTTTTAAGATACATATTTCATTTTCACAGCTACACTCATTGGTTCAAAATTATGTCTATGACCAAGATAGAGATGTCATGCATATGATGGTTAAAGAATCACTTGTAAAAACAAAAACAATTTCATTTATTCAAACTTTTTCATGAGTTAGTTTTTCATACCAAGAGTTCATGGATTTCAAAACATCATATCTTTTAAGTGAGACATTCTTTGTGTTAAAGTTGATGTTTGCGAATAATTTGCTCTTATACAAGACTGAGCCTAAGCAAATGAGTCTGTAGTCAAGGATCAGAGCAGTAGCAACTGAATAAGATAAAACTATTGCCTATAGAATCTTGAAAACAAACACAGAATATTTACATACAAGAATAAAACACGTAAAAGCTTGTTTGGCAGCAAAAGCCTGTGTATAAAAGAATGTGAGGATAGAAAATGTGATTATACTTTTTCTCGTCACTATAAATCATAACTATAATCATATTTTTGCAATATTTTTTACAGCCATCACTTCCCTGGGGGGCTCTTCCACCACATTCTTCTTGACCAAGATATCAGCATTTCTCTATTTATAAATACATATTTCATTTCTTTATCTACATAGCTAGCTAGCATTTAATCAGAGGGAAATTTCTTGATAAAGGAAGAAATAAAAACAACAGGATCATTAGTCTTAAAAAATAGTGATTAAGTACTTATGCTTTCTGAAATCTTATCTCAACATAGGATTAAATGAGGAATGCAGAATTAAATCTGATAAAAAACCAAAAATAAAACATGATTTCTGTTCAATATTTAGAGGATAGGCAATTATGATTATCATTATTTTAACAAAATATAAGTTTGGAATTAATATTCAAAAATTTACATGTATCTTAGGATACGGTAATTAATATATATTTTAGAATTGCCTAGAAAGAAGACTGTACCACATCCCTAGTCCTTTATCTGACCTTTAAGCCACTTAACGATTCAATACAGAAGTTGTTCTTTAAATAATTATTATTACAGGCACATGACAGTTATTTAATATAATTGAAGTACAACTAGACTAAATTTCCTTTTCCAAAAGATCAGCATGTAGTCATACACTGAAAATTAACTACTTCTAAAGTGCTTCTAAGGATTTCCGTCATGACCACTGAGATTAAAACTTTTAACCTTTTTCCCAGCCCAAAATTTATCCAAACCTGAAACAACCTCTGGGCTGATCCAAGTCAGAGCACAGCTAACTCACAGAATAATTTGGAATTTAGCTTGTTAGGTTTTGCATAGGGAGTAAAACCAGAGAATCAGGAGAAACCCCTCAAATCAAGGAAGAGACCTAATAAACTCTACTCATAYGTGATGCTGAGTCCAGGAAATGAACCAAAGACCCRAGAGGTGATATATGAATGAACTATYSCTACACCATTGTTGATTTTAAGTWTGGAGCAYTAACCATAGAYCTGTTTCACTTGTTCAATATCCTGAATCGGAATATGGTGACCAGTTTGAATAACAGCTTTTGTTCTGCACTGACTAGCGACTGACTAGCCTCTCAAAACACTTTTATGTTTCCATGTGAACATGCGGCTAGTCAGTCGAGGCTAGTCAAACTTTCATGATACATGTACAGTATCAAAGCATTAAAACAGGTTTTCTATAAACTCTTTATACTACATTTTTAAAATCTCTGTTTGCAGGAGGATATTAATAATATATGGTATGTTGATTAAAATGAAGGCAATATTTGATGAATAATTAATACATAATAAGTTTCAATTGGATACTTAAATTTWAATAAAATGTCAAGACTTTTAAAAGTTTTTTGAAAAATCTGATCTATACTAGAAAAAAGAAAGAATATTAGTTATCATGAAAGTTGTGGARAATTGTACTAATAATATATGATAACTGTATGACGTTGAATTTAATATAATTAAGTAATCAAACATTTGAAAACTTTTATAAAATTTCWTTAATCAATTAAAAAATTTCTGAAACTTGAATTTAAAGAAATAGTAATAAAGAAAGATCTTAGAAATCAATGAAGAAATCTAAACCTCRTCTTTTTTTCAAATCACAGAAAAATATGAAAAGTATGTGAAGTTTTGAATTTTTTTGGGTTATGATCTCTGTTTGCACAATTAGCAAATATTTCTTAAAAGGCATAAGATACCAATGTGATTATTTGAGAGAAAAATAACTAAGCTTATAATAAAAGCATGTTCTGCCCCCTTATATTATTGACATTATTCTAATAACACTTAGATTCTTTCATGCATGTATACACACAAGAATAACCAAAACCCCATTCTCCAAAGCTTGCAAATTAAAATTCTCAAAATAAAATTCAAAGGTGTTTTTCATTTTAGGTCTGTTTTGAAATCCTAAGTTTAATTTTAAGAGGTTTTCACGTCAGATCTGTTAATRCTACTTACAAAATTACATCCAAATAATTTGAATTGTAAAATCTCTGAAAAATTCTAAGGATGGCAGATATGGTCTATGCAGAGAATTTGAGACTAGTCAATATTGTTAATAATATTCCTGCACACTTATTTTAGAAAATAAAAGCAAAAAATATGCATTTTACGGTTTGTTTATTGTAACGCTTGATTATCAGGTCACGCAAATTCGAATATTAAAAAATCCARGTTCGAAAGTACGATTGATTTGAACAAATATCCCATCCTTTTGATAAAATTTGATTCTGCCTAGAAAATCAAACATGCAAAAGGTATAAAATATGAAGAGGGAATCCAGTTRAACTAAGAAACAATGTTCGGGTTGTTATTCTAAGTTGTAAATTAACACCGGCATCTTAAAATAATTATATTTGAAGTCAAGAGTGGAAAACAGGAGCTAAAAACCTAAAAAATGTCTTCAACTCGACCATAAACAGTCGAAGATACAGAATACGGTTCAAAAAGACATTGTTTACTTTGTTTGGCGCTTATAATTACTGAAGTTYTTATACTTCTTTACAAACATGACACCAACTTCATTCGTCTAGTGTGCCTAATAAAGATCAAGAACTAGTCAGAAAAAGATATATAACATAAAAATGGAAGAATCGAGGTCTAATATAACAAGGTTTAGAGGTTCCTTGGGAGTGATTCAACCATCCACTTGAGATATTTCAGTAGGATGCTAAAAGTCAAAACTAAAATTATCGTTTATAGGTTTACGTTTTCGTCCATTTGGCACAAGATAGTGCGAAGATTTCCTGATATTTAGTAGAGATTGGAAACGATGGGCGTTGTTGAGGCAAATTTGCCACTAATTTTATCAACGAAACCCGATTAATACAGGACAACGATGCTAGGAAAATCCGATAAAATGCCTATAGCAGTTGGTAAAGAATTTCTGAAAATTTAGGACGCTYGAAATATTGCGATTATTTGGGCATTCTTTATACGGATGTGACACAATTCGGGCGCGTATCTCGACCAAAACCACAATCACAACCATCAAGTTAACTTAGTCAACGAATTATTTCAATAAATAAGGTAGCTGATTGWGATGGAGAGGGTTTGATTGAGGTTATGCATAGCTAAAGGATTAAATATTTGGCGCCGATCGAGCCGTTCCTTGCAGTACGACTCAACGAGCCATCCATCACAAAATCATTACGAGAACCCCAACTACGAGTGCACGATAACAACGTCTTACTTGGAAATAGGGTTTCCGCTTAGATCCAGAGACTTTAGAGCCTTGCAGTACTTGATATTTTCTGGTATATCGCAAATATCTGCAGAAAGGAGGAAATATTTAGTGGGTTAAGAAGCATTGCAGTTGGAAACTCAAGAAAATGAGATCAACAAGCGAACAAGGTTGTTAAACGCCAGAAGCATTGATCACAAGGTTCATCAATCACCCTATAATGAACGATTCAAAARGTTTTTTTACCTCTCTCGGAGAGTAAAACAAACAGGCTTATCGATAGTCATTTTGCTTACCATTTCTACTAATATCAAACTCCTGTAGACTCGCCAAGTTGCCGATCTCGGGAGGTAGGCGAGCAATCTCATTGTCGCTTATGCCCAACCGCTTGATGTTGTACAACCTGAAAAACGGCTGCAAAAAAACATGTACCATGAATTAGATTCCCTCCAGGACGACCTAAAAAGGACAGCAGAAGATCCAGCCTTACCCTAGGGAGGTCTTTGATCTGGTTAGCGTCGAGAAAAAGCTCCTCCAAATATCGCTCATACCGGTAAACTTCGTCGGGTACGAAGTTAAGGCTGCAGTGACTGCGATCAAGTGAGTCAACTTGGCGGTTGCAACGCCAAGGAAGCAGGCACCGAAACATTGGTTCAACCCAGCACAACGACTAGTACAATGTCCAAACTAGCTATATGGAGTATTTTGGAGTTCCGGCGGCAGGTTATTTAGGAATCCCAGGGCTTTTCATGTGCTTGTAGTGTGAATGTTTTGGGACAAGGAACGAGAAAGCCAAACAGTGACGTCACGCGTCATGGCCGACCTACCCATAATCCTTCGCAACCACCCTTCCATCCGCGCCTTTTCTATCTCTTTTGTTTTCTTATTTTTCTTATTTTCTCCCTTTTCATCACAAATGAATTCGTTGAAAGATCGTTATTACGAACAATTCTCTAGGATTCGTAGTTGAATAGGGGTGATTGAGTGTTTAATTAGTGACAAAKTTTTTCCGAGGTTTAAATAGCCGATCGTAAGTGAAGCGTTACGGAAATAGCCCCGGAAATGAGAAGTTATTGATCGATGTACACAGATTGTACTTACTTCTTAATGGTAATTTACCAGACATTTTATGTTTTCTAGCAATCTTTAGYATAACTGCCGTATAATGGGATATTTTGTTCGGTTCTACATTGGTTTTGTAATAAATTTACTTCCAAAGAATAAATGTTGGAAAGCGAAGCGGCCATTTCTGTATCGGAACTTCCCTACACTACGGACCCAACAAAACGAAACGAAGTGCCGGGTCACTACTCTAGGCAGGGGTTGATCTGGGGGGCTTTCAGGAGATTCGTTTATTTGGACCCCCTACATAACCACGAACGAACCCACTAAATGACAACTACGAACCAACCCCCGAAGTCATCTTGATTTTTCGAGTGATGTAAATCCCCTAATAGACCATTTCCGTTCCAGTTTCAAACTACCGCCGTGTTCCTTGATTACAGACTTATTAACTCAGGCTTAGCATTGTATCAGTGTTTATATCTTCACAAATACCAACGGTAAAGTAAAGAATTCAAAACTTCAACAATACTACCGACGGACCTGGACTGGAACACATTGGAAGATTCTGCACAATGAAACTCCTGACCAACAGAGAACTGGAAACTGGAGTAATAGAAGATGGAAGCCCCGACTTTTTGGGTTCGCCAAACGACAGTCCCTTTTTTGCTCTTTTCGCCAGTTTGAACCCCCCCCCCCCTACACCCTAGTTAAAATCCCGGGTTGACCCCCTTTTTGGAAATTTTGAGAAAGCTTTGAAACGGCGACACGAGAACCACGAACTACCGTTTAACGACAGACTGTGCTCTGATGAATTATTAGCAGATACGGTGCAAGACCGTAGCGCCCACAGGGACCGGGGGGACCCGTGCCCCCCCCCCAAGTTTCCCCCCTGAAAAGCAATAAGTAATATCTCATGAATATTTATTCTTTTGTAATCATTCGTTGTGAAGAGATTTTGTGCCCCCCTACTGACCTGAATCACAGTTTTTCAAGGCCCGCCCTGTTGAAATAAAGCTGGTGTGCTAAGTGCTAATCAATTGCATGGTTGATAGATTATGTCAGGGTTGTAAGTACCCATCTAACAACTTAGTGGTTACAGTAATGAAGTGGAACCTCCTTAATCTGACCACAAAAAAGACGACAAGAATTTAATTAGAGCCAATTTACCAATTTGCATTGGCTACCTTACTTTCCAATTCGACCAATCAGCAAAAGTGGTCAAATCCTGTTAACTAGTTTGTTAAGATGGTCAATTATGCGCGCGATCGATGAATTAACAGACTTTAAGACACGACAGAGGGGG